TGCTGGCGCGGACGGGCTGCGTCGCGACGGTGCAGGGCGGGGGGTTTGCGGGGCCCACCGAGTGCCTGGACCTGGCGACCTACGACTATCACTCCTTCTCCACCGACCCGCGCGTCGTCGCGGAGGCGCGGCGGGCGGTGGGGACCTACGGCGTCGGCAGCTGCGGGCCGCGGACCTTCTACGGCACCATCCGGCCCCACCTCGAGTGCGAGGAGGGAATCGCGCGCTTCTGCGGCACCGAGGACGCCAGCATCTTCAGCTTCTCCTACGCGACGATCGCGACGCTGCTGTCCTGCTTCGCCGCGCGCGGGGACTACATCGTTTGTGATGCCGGGGCGAACTCGGCGGTCATCGAGGGCTGCGTCCTGACGCGGTGCAATCTTTGCTATTTCAAGCATAACGATCTCGCCAGCCTCGAGCAGGAGCTGCAGGGGATCGCCAAGAAGGACGGCTACAAGAAGCCGCACCGTCGACTGGTGGTCACCGAGGGCATCTTTCGCAATACCGGGGAGATCTGCCCGCTGCCTGAGATCCTGGAGCTGTGCGATCGGTATAAATTTCGATTCGTACTCGAGGACTCCTACGGGTTCGGCGCGATCGGGAAGACCGGTCGTGGGACACCGGAGCACTTCGACATTCCCACGTCGAAGATTGACGTCTATGTCGGATCTATGTCCACCTCGCTTGGGGCGGTGGGCGGGTTTTGCGCCGGTGCGGCGATGCTAATCGATTTTAGTCGCCTGACTTCGACCGCATATGTGTACTCCGCTTCTTTGCCACCCTACCTGAGTGCATCTGCCTTGGCGGTGTTGGAACTCATCGACAAGGACTCTAGCCACACGGACAAACTACAGGAAAACTCTAAACTTATTCGTCAATCTCTCCGAAAAGCCAAGGTTGATCCGAACAAGATTGCAATGATCGAGTCTAACAACGACGTATCCCCATTGATTTATCTCAAGGTTTCGGATGCCTACATCAAGGAAGTGACCCATGAGGTGGTTGAAGAGAAATTACAAGAGGTCGTCAATATAGTCGCAGAGGATAAAATTATCATTCTTCGGCACCTTTACATAACCAATGAACGTGCCTTGGGTTTCCCCGCTTTGGTTATAGTGGCCAAGAGTCAACTTAAGGAGGATAAACTAAAGGACTCTATGGATGTCATTGTACGGGCACTGGAGAAGGAGTTTTCATAATCCACTCGTACAGTTGCTTATACAATTAAACAGGAAAACATGGAGTGTATGTCACACTCAGTATTGGTGCTTTTTGGTATATATTTACTATCAACCCCGTTCCGAATAACATAACGTGCTAATCATTACGAATGGAATTTTTTGGCGATGTAAAGCAAAACATATCATCCATTTAAGTGATTTCGTTTCTTGTATGTATGTCCTTTCTTTTTTTTTTGCGCTGCACACAAAATTTATACTTATTTTTAGCTATATTACACTGCGAATGTTTGCGTGTTTTAATGGGTTTGTTGCTTTTATTACTTTGTAGCAATTTGAGATGGATTGCTGCTGTATATAAGGGGGATGGAGAGAATGTATGAAATTTTTTAACTGTGCATACTCTAAATTATATGCGAAATGCACTATTTTGATTATTTATTTTATTACAAGTGAATAAAAGCAA